CTGTTGCATTCCTTGTAATCTTGTCTAGGCAGGCCTATGCTCCTGGGACACTGACTGACCCCCTTCTTCTCCCCTCTCTTCTCTTCCTCTCCAGGTTCCCTGGTCCAGGCAGCACTAATTCAGCCACCATCCTTGCTGCCACCGGCATGGAAGAGACTGTCAGGATCTCCTGCTCTGGGGGTAGCAGCGGCTATGGCTATGGCTGGTACCAGCAGAAGGTCCCTGGCACTGCCCCTGTCACTGTGATCTACAGCAGTGACAAGAGACCCTCGGATATCCCTTCGCGATTCTCCGGCTCTGGGGGCACGTTAACCATCACTGGGGTCCAAGCCGAGGACGAGGCTGTCTATTACTGTGGTGGCTGGGACAGCAGTGCTGGTCAGGACTGAGGTCCCCTGCAAGATGGTTGTTGTTGACCATGGATGATGCGGGATGCTGCTTCTGAGGAATGACTGAGGTTTGAGAACTGCAGTTTACAGGGATGGATTGACAGTGCACAAGAAGCCCCCGGCTTTAGGGATCCCTGGTGGGGCCAACACCCTATTCTGCCATCTGGACCTTTGGCCATCACCATGTCAGGTGTAACTCATCATAAATCTGGCAGATTTTCCTCAACAGTTGAAATGTGGTATGGAAAGAATCCCCTAATGAAGGAGCTAAGTGGGAGCTGGGGAAAGATGTACTGGCAGGTTCCTGCCTTGTGAATGGAGTCTTAATTTCATGGAGGAGCCATGGCCCAGACATGTGGTGGCTTAAAAGCTAGACAAGGTACACAGCACAGCCCAACCAAGGGTGAGGACATGGAGCTGGTGGGACTGCACCATAGGCCTGGGGCCCTCCCCTACTCACAGTGTTCACCTACAGCTCAGGTGCCATGGCCAAAGTCACTGTGCCTGGACAGGGCTTCTGTATGCAGGGCACATCCTTCTGCTCTGGGGAAGCTGTGTTCCTGGGGTGCAGATTGATCACTGTCTTCTCCCCTCTTTTCTCTCCCTCTCCAGGTTCCCTGGTCCAGGCAGCATCACTGAGTCAGCCACCCGAGATGTCAGCCAAGGTGGGAGACACTGTCAGGATCACCTGCACTGGGGGTAGCAGCAACTATTATGGCTGGTTCCAGCAGAAGGTCCCTGGCACTGCCCCTGTCACTGTGATCTATCGGGATAGCAGCAGACCCTCGGACATCCCTTCGCGATTCTCCGGCTCTGCCTCCGGCTCCACGGCCACGTTAACCATCACTGGGGTCCAAGCCGAGGACGAGGCTGTCTATTTCTGTGGTAGCAGGGACAGCAGCAGCTATGCTGGTGAAGTGACAAAGACAGAAGAATTAAAAACATAGATTTTCAGTCCTTCTCATGGCCAAGTAGAGTTGTAGATGTGGGGCTGGGACAGATTATGTCTCCTCTGCATGACCATAGCTATGAATACTATTTTTTGTCCTACTGAACAGAAGGCTTTGGACCATTGTCCTCCCCTCTACAAAACTCATGGTGTAGCTGTGTTCCAGGTTTCCAGACTCCAAAACTAAAGAAAATATTTCAGCTGTCCTCCCTTTTGGCTGGCTGTGGGGTAGGTTCCTGTCCCCTCTGTACAGCAAGGGCTACAAATGTCTTTCTTTCACTGCCCCACAGAACTGGGGGTTCTCTTGTTCTCAACCACGTTTGAAGGTCACTGTCCTTGTCCCTACAAAGATCAGTGTGGCTTTCTCCCCCAACCCATCACATCCTGCTACAGATGACCATCTCCCCCTCCTGCTGCCTCTGTGCTGGGGTGCCTTGGGCCCTGTCACTCTGATCTATGGCAGCAACAGCAGACCCTCGGGCATCCCTTCCCGATTCTCCGGATCCTGGTCCAGCTACACGGGCACGTTAACCATCACTGGGGTCCAAGCCGAGGACGAGGCTGTCTATTTCTGTGGTGGGGATGACAGCAGTGGTAGTGATAAGGACGAGTAATGGGGAAGTGAGACACAGAAGCCAGTGTCAGGAGAGGAAGGTTTTCAGCCATTTTTTCTCATGGACAAACAAAGCTGTGATAGTGGAGTTGAGGCAGGTTCCTGTCCCCTGCCTAAGGACATGGATGTTCATGACAAGGCATAGGAGGGAACTCTTTCCCCTGTGCCCATAGTAAGAATGGCACTGCCTCATCTCCAGCCCTGTTGCCTTTTGCTTCAGGCTGCTCCCTCCTGCTGCTGCAGCTGCTACTGCTGAAGCTGCTTCTCCTGCTTGCTCTGGGCCAGGCTGGGCCCTGATTCCCCCATGTTTCTGTAGCCACGACCAGGTCCCTTTCCCCAAGAGGGTGATGGTCTATTGCTCTGCTGCTGCCAGCTCTCCTTCCAGGGCCATGGGTCTCTAATCTTCCTCTCTGTCTTGAGGCTGTGTGTCCCACTGTGGCATGGACCATGGGCACAGGAGGCTGTCATACTGCCTGGGTAGGGATGTGCTCCCAGGGCAATGGCTCACCCCATCTTATTGCCTTTCACCTCTCCTTCTCCAGGCTCCCTGGTACAGTCAGTCATCCTTGGTGCCAGCCAACCTGGGACAAACTGTCTGGGCTATATGCTCTGAGAGCTACAATGAGTATGGCTGGTACCAGCAGAAGGTCCCTGGCACTGCCCCTGTCACTGTGATCTACTGGGATGACGTAAGACCCTCGGACATTCCTTTGTGATTCTGGTTTTGTGTCTGGCTCCAGAGGGTCACTGGTGTTCAAGCTGAGGGCAAGGCTTTCTACTGCAGTGGTAGCTTCAACAGCAGCAGTGCTGATCTCATGGTGACACTGCCCCACAGGCAAGCAAGATCTTGAGTGTCAAAAAGGCTGGTTTTGGTGCCTCATTCCACTCCACCAGGCATGACCACCTCTCCAGCTTTGGGACTTTTCCATTCCCTTCCCTTTCCATTCCATTCCATTCCATTCCCATGTCTTAGGGCTGTGACTCTGAGTATGATGTGGCACTGAAGATGGTTTCCCAGAGAACTTGTGGATGACCCATCCCTGGAAGTGTTCAAGGCAAGGTTGGATGAGGCTTTGAGCAACCTGGTCTAGTGAAAGGTGTCCCTGCCCAAGGCAGGAGTGTTGATGGTATTTAATGTCCCTTCCAACTCAAACCACTCCATGATTATATGGCTATGTTCCCAGTGGCTGGGTGCTGGTGCTGCAGAAGCCCTGACCTGGGCCCATCCTCACTGCCCAACACCCAGGTGAGGGGCAGAGGAGTCTGTGACAATGTTAGGAGCTGCAGCCAGTGGAGCTGCAGCCAGTGGAGCTTCCCAAGAACACCTTTGCTACACACTTGTTCCACAGTCTGAGTCCTGCCTAGGGCCTGGCAGCATTGCAGCTGCCCTGACAGCTCAGGACTGGGCATGTGGGCATTTGCCAGGAGCCCTGGATGCTCTTGCTGGGCATGGAGAGCTTGTGCCACAGCCCATGGCTCTGGCTTAGCTGTCCCCAGTGTCCATGTCTCTGCAGCAAAACACCTTGATCTGCTGCAGGGGCAGCAACAATGCTTATGGCTGGTTCCAGCAGAAGGTCCCTGGCACTGCCCCTGTCACTGTGATCTATGCTGGTAACAGCAGACCCTCGGACATCCCTTCGCGATTCTCCGCATCCACGTCCGGCTCCACGAACACGTTAACCATCACTGGGGTCCAAGCCGAGGACGAGGCTGTCTATTTCTGTGGTGGTGAGGACAGCAGCAGCAGTGCTTCCACCGTGGCGTGCAGCAGTTGGGGAAGTGATGCAAAAACCTCCTGCTATTGCAAGTATCAGTCAGGAGTCTGTGCTGTGCCTGCTTGATGCGGGTCAGGCCCCCACCATGGCCCTGCCCTTGCTGCCCTGCACTGAATGTGCCTGTGCCTGGTCGCTCAGCCTGGCACTCCCTTAAAGCTCCATGTCCCTGCTCATTCCCTGGCACTTTGGGAGGGGATATGTAGCACTTGGAAACACACTTGCCTCCATGGCCACAATACCCATGGCTGGGTCCAAGCAGAGGAGGAGGCGAAGCAGGAGGAGGCTCTCACTCTTCTGGCTGGGACACCAATGGTGATCAGGGCCATGGTAACTCCCAGACCAGGAAAAGGGAGACACAGGCCCACTGTTGCCCCAATGAGGCACCCTCGGGTGCTGCCTGAAGCTGCCCAGGCACAGCATGGAGCAGCATCTGTGCCTGTGTGGCAATTCCTCCTATGGGACATATGCTGTGCTCCAGCAGGTCCCCTCCATACAACTCACAGGGAGATAGCCCTGCAGCCCTGCCCTGTCCATGCCAGCCAGGCTCCTGGTGCCCTTGGCACCCTGGGGACAGCATAGAGGGTCCTGGGGGAGAGGAAATTTCCTGGGATGCAGCCACTCTTTGTCTGGGTTGGGACTGCCAAAGACAACCATGATCCCTGTGCCCCGAGTTGGAGCAGGACTGACCAGGAGCTGCCCCAGCTCTGGCTGCTGAGCACTAGCACACTGGGCTCATGATCAGCTAATGGGGAGGCATTGCTGGACCTGGCTCAGTGCTGGCCTGCTCCCATTGTTCTGGGGTGTGAATGCCTGGGAAGAGCAAAGGTCTTGGTCTTCAGTGGTGGATTTCAGCTGTTAGAGGAAAAGCCAGGGCACAAAAGCAGGAGAGCAAGGGGGTATTTTACAGGCATGGAATTCCCATGGGAGGCAAAAACTCCAAAAATTAGTTGGGGGATGATGGATCTTGGCATTGTTCCAGTTCTATCACTGGGAGCTGCAGGTACTCCTGTATGCCCATGCCACAGCACCCAGCTCTCCCTTCTCCTTAGACACTGCAGCCACTCAGCCTGGTGTGGGGACAGGGGTGTCAATGCTGTGGGTTTCAGGCTCAGAGCTGGGGGGTGTCTCTGCTTTGTGTCTGGGGACAAGCTCTGCTACACCTGGGGTGGTGGGGCTGGGTGTGGAGCAGGGAGGGATGTGCGGAGAGAGGCGCGGGCAGGATCCGGCCGTGACCGCAGGCTCGGATTTGCATGGAGGGGACGTGTCCTCGGCGGGCGGGGGCTTAAAAGGGAGTCAGGGTCCACGGCACAGCCCCATCATTCTGGGGACGCTGAGCCGGTGGGATTGAACCATGGCCTGGGCCCCTCTTCTCTTCGTGGTGCTCGCCCACAGCACAGGTGCCATGGCCAGACTCGCTGTGCCTGCACTGGGCCTTTGGGCACAGGGACCCTGTCCTGCTGCCCAGGCAGGCCTGTGCTCCTGGGACACTGACTGACCCCTGTCTTCTCCCCTCTCTTCTCTCCCTCTCCAGGTTCCCTGGTCCAGGCAGCGGTGACTCAGCCATCCGAGATATCGGCCAAGGTCGGCGACACCGTCAGGATCACCTGCACTGGTAGCAGCAACAGCTATGGCTGGTACCAGCAGAAGGTCCCTGGCACTGCCCCTGTCACTGTGATCTACTACAGTGACAAGAGACCCTCGGACATCCCTTCGCGATTCTCCGGATCCAAATCCGGCTCCACGGGCACGTTAACCATCACTGGGGTCCAAGCCGAGGACGAGGCTGTCTATTTCTGTGGTAGCTATGACAGCAGCAGTACTGCTGCACCGTGACACAGAGCAAAGGGGAAGTGGTACAAAAACCTCCTGCCTCAGCTTACCCTTGGAGCCCCAAGACTGTGCCCATCTTCTGTCATTTGAGGAAGTTATGACCTCCCAGCAACCCTGTCATGGCCCAGGGTGTCCCATGTATGTGCCTGCAGGCAGATTTGTCCTTCCACTGTTCCCCTGACCAGAGAGGGCCATGCTCCAGGTCACTGGCTGATCCTCATCTTCTTTTCTCCCTCCTCTCCCTCTCCATGTTCCCTGATCCAGGCAGTGCTCGGTATCAGCATTGTGGGACAAACCATCAAAGTCATCTGCTTCAGTGATGGCAGCAGCTGTGACTGGTACCAGCCTAAGTTTCCTGGCTGTGCCCCTGTCATTGGGATCTACTGCAACGACTTGGGACCCCAGACATCCCTTTAGGATTCTCCAGATGCCAGCCCGGCTCCATGAGCACAGTAACCATCTCTGGGGCCCAAGCCCAGGACAAGGCTGTCTGTTAACGTGGTAGCTACCAAAATGGCAGTGATGATGTTACCACGGTGAAACAGAGCAATGGGGATGGGATACAAAGTCTTCGTGCCATGACAGGGGCCTGTTAGGAGCCTCTGCTGTCCCTGTTTGGTGAGGCAGGTCCCTGGCACAGCCCTGCCTTTTTCTGCCCTGTGGTGAATGTGGCTGTTCCCACTGACACAGCTCCATCCTTACAGCCCTCTCCTTGTCATTTGTGGATGAGAGCAGATAGGATAGAACTGAACAGACCATTTCAGATGGAAGAGGCCTTCAATGATCACACAGTCCAACTGCGTAGCCTGCACATCACTTCAGGGATGACAAAAATGTAGGGCATTGTCCAAGTGCCTGTATAACACTTGCAGGCCTGGGATATCATCCAGCTCTGTGCTCCAGAGCCAAGATTCTCCTGGTCTCCCTGGCTGGTGCCCAGGGCCCTGCTGATGCCTCCCAGCCCAGCTGTGCCAGGAGCCTCTGGAACATCACCACATTACAGGCCTCTGGAAACAAAGGAGTTGAAGATGGAGTTTCTCTGTCCTGTCTCTCAGGGCTGAGCAGGCCTGTGGGCTTGATGCAGCTTCATCTGCCCCCTCCATGACCATTGGCTCTGAAATGCCTGCTGCTTGCCCCATGCTGTGCACGAGGAGGCCCTGGGGCTCTGCAGTGCCTGGCATTGCCATGTCCTCAGCCCCACCACCTCATTCTGCTGCCAGCCACCTCCTCTTGCTCTGCCAGGTCTCTTCATGGGGCCCTGACCTTGAGTTCAGGCCTTGGGCTGTGTTTGGGGCAGTGACCCCTCTGTTCCATCAGGACTTTTTGGCACAGGAATCCTGTCCTGCAGGTCAGAGAGGGCTGTCCTGGGGCACAGACTGACACCCCTTATTTCCCCTCTCCCTTTCTACATTCCCTGGTCCAGGCAGCATCTCAGAGTCAGCCATCCAAGGTGTCAGCCAGCCTGGGAGAGATTTCAAGATCTCCTGCTCCAGTGTCAATGCCAAAAGCTCCTTCAGCAGCACCCTGCTGCATCCAGCATAGCCTCTGTCCTCCTCCATGCCTCTCTCCAAGGAGAGCAGGACTGAAGAGCTGAAAACTGTCCCACTCTTATCCTCCCACAAAATGAAACCGAAACCCCAGTGAAGCCTGAGAAATGCTCAGAAAATTATCATCCACAATAGAAGGCAGTGGCTTCAAATAAATGCTTTGCATATACAATTTCAGTGATGTTTTTCCTTTTTTTGGATAGTTCCAGACTTTGCACAAAAGCATAGACCTTCCCAGAGGCAAAGCAAACCTCTGAAAGAGAAAGCGTTTCAAACCACAAAATCTTCGAAGTGTTACCTGTTTTACAATGAACTATTTATAGAGTTCCTGTGACTCAGGAAGCTCACTGACTCTGCCTCTTTCTAGAACCACTTGCACAAACCACATCATTTGAAAATCTGTGGGTTCAATTTACGTTGGTGCTGCTGGCATTCAGTGGTCCAAGCTGAGCACTGAATCTGCCAATCTGTGGGATTGGCACCACACTGTGAAAACATTTTTCAAAGAAGCAGCCAAGACTTCACAGGGAAATTTGAAGTTAATTTGTTTTAGCTGAAACCCATTCTGGCTCACCCCTTCCTTGGCTATCTCAGCTCTGTGTAGGCATCTCCACCTCCTGCCTTTCCATACATTTAGGGTAAATATTAATACAAATAAGTTGCCTGCAGAGACCTTCAGCTATTAGCTCCATTGCTGGTGGTGGGAGCTGCACTGAAGAGCCCAGCCAGGACCAAAACTCCACACGTTCAGCTGTGCCCACACCTTCATCCTGCTGCGTCCATCGTGGCATCTCCATCCCATCACCTTCATTCCACTGCACCCACTGGGATATTTCCAGACCATCCTCTCCATCCTCCCACATCCATGGGCTCCAGAACTGCTCTGCCACGAGGCAGGAGGTTTTAGTATGGCCCTGTGTCACTGGGTGGTGTATTCGGGGCCGGGACGATGTTGACCGTGACAGGTGAGTCGCCGACTTCCCCTCGGTCTTTCCTTTCCCACCACGGAATTTTGACATTTTGTCGATTTTTGGTGATTTGGGGTTTTTTCTCGGACTTGGCGCCGGGCTGGGGTCTGCCGCCCGTTTGGGGCCAGGCACTAAGCCTGGTCCTGGGGGCTCTGTCTCGTCCCTGCGGACTCCGACGACTCTGTGCGCACCGCAGAGAATGGGGGCGTATTTTCTGAATCGAAAAGTCTTAAAATTTGTCCAGGAAATGTGTCTGAGGTCTCAGGGGGAAGGAAACTCAAGTTTAGGTCCCTAAAATATGTGATTTTTATCTTTCTCAAAGAAATCTGTCAGTCTAAAGTCTAAGTCCTCAACTCTTAGTCCTGAGGACTAAGTCTGTCACCCTGGTGAGGGGCAGGGGCTCTTCTGCGGGGTCCCATGGCCAGGGGTGCAGGTGCTGTGAAAGGACAGCCTGTCCTCGGCTCTGAGTAGCCCACAGTCATCCTGACTTCGTGTTAAAATGTCCCTGGAATCTTAGACAAAAGATTCCAGGAGTATCTTAAAGAGCCCATTGTCCAGGTAAGACATGTCAAAAATGGAGATTATTGGGCTGAAAATGCTGCCAGAAATGTCGTTGGTCTGTCTTTGTCAGTAATTTTTAAAATAATTTGGTGAAGAATACCAATTTGAACCAAATTACTGGGGGCTAAGATCAAGAAAAATGTTCTTTGACCATTTCTTCATCAAAAAGTATTTAATGATGGAGTCATCTTGGTTTTCAAATGGAGATAGAGGTAGAAATAGAGGTGAAGATAGAAATAGAAACACTGCACATTGGAGGAGGCAGCAGAACCACACCAGAAACATCTTTTTTCCATCTTCCTTTGGGTGATTTTTAGTAGTAGTTTTTCAGAGACAAAAAATGTCTGAAAGCAGAACTGGGCAGAAAACAGGATGGTTTGTCTGTGAAATTTTGGGGTTTTTTAAGAAAAATGCCTTGCAAAAGGAAAGAAATGGCTTTATGGCAAAAAAATTTAAGATTCAATATATATATATATATATATAAATGTATATATAAATGTATATATAAATATATAAAAAATCAGATATATGTGAGATACAGAAATGTATAAATATTCATGTGTAAATGCATCTTATAGAATTATATATTTATTCATATGATATGGACTACTTATATATGTATATTGTACACTTTATATATATTATGCATATTAGCTGTATATATCTATCATATGGAATACATATATGCACATATATGTGCATAAAGTGTATATAAAACATATGTACAAGCATATGTGAGATATATGTGTATATTTAAGATTCAATTTATATATATATATATATATATATATAATGTATATATAAATATATTAAAAATCAGATATATATGAGATACAGAAATGTATAAATATTCATGTGTAAATGCATCTTATAGAATTATATATTTATTCATATGATATGGACTACTTATGTATGTATCTTGTACACTTTATATATATTATGCATATTAGCTGTATATATCTATCATATGGAATACATATATGCACATATATGTGCATAAAGTGTATATAAAACATATGTACAAGCATATGTGAGATATATGTGTATTGACACACATATATGCATATATATATATATATGTAACCCAAATTTAAATATATAACAGTTATGAGTGACAAGCTCTGGCTGTGGGGAAAGTGAGGAGTTTCTGGGTAGTGCCAGCAGGGCAGGCAGGGCTGGGGGACAGGGCCGTCTCTGACGCTGTACCATTCTCATCCCTCACAGGCCAGCCCCAGGTCGCTCCCACCGTCCACCTCTTCCCGCCATCGTCTGAGCAGATAGACTCACAGGGCAAAGCCACCCTGGTGTGCCTGATGGAGAACTTCTACCCACGCAGTGTGACGGTGGAGTGGGTGGGTGATGGCAGCACCATCAGCACTGGCGTGGAGACCAGCCAGCCCCAGCGGCAGAGCAACAACCAGTACATGGCCAGCAGCTACCTGTCGATGGAGGCCACCAAGTGGCAGAGTTACAATTCTGTCTCGTGCAAGGTCAGGCACGTGGCTGGAAACGTGGAGAAGACCGTGAACAGATCCGAGTGCTACTAACCTGCCCCGCCGGCCTCTGCTGGCTCCCTCCCTCCTCCCCACTTCTGGGAACAGCGGCTCCCCCGCCGCAGATGTCTCTGCCCATGTCTGCCCGTCCCCTGCTCCTGTCCCCCACTGTGAGTGTCACACAATAAACACCGACACTGAACTAGCGCTGGCTCAGCATCCCTGTCTCTGTGTCCTTCCAATGCGCCGCTCCCCACTCGCGGCCTGGCACCAGCAGGGAGGGTGGGGTGGGAACACTGACATGTGTGCACACACACACTCATAATGCAGGGGCTCTGCGAAGATTTTGGGGACCCTGGGGATCACAATGAAACCCCCTGGCACTGCCAACACAGGGAATGAGCAGCCTGGGGCACAGCCTGCACTAAGCCCCCATGCACTCATTGAACACATGGCCCCGGCTGTGCCATCCTCGGCCCTTGTTCATGTTCCTCTGGGTGCCAGCTGCCTTGCAGGCACATGTGGCCGGTGGTGGAGGTACAGCAGCCATCTCCCTTTGCTGCCAGGCCTGGCTCTGTCCCCATTTCATTGTCACCCCCATGCTTCCTGGAACTAGGGTCCCAGTGTAGCCAGTTAAAAGCACAAGCACCAGCCTGTCCATCACACCCCATGCCATGACAACTGGGACTCCAGCATGTCACATGCCCTGTCCCCATCCCCAGCATAGCCCTGGAGAAGTTTCCCTGCAGCTCATGGAAGGGCTGACAGCCAATGCTGTGCTGAAAGCACCAGTGCTCTGCTGTTGTCACCCCCTGGCTGCCAGGAGCCACTCCAGGACAGGGGCTGGGAGCACCCAGCCATGCTGTGTGCAGGTCTGGGGGAGGTGTCCCTCACCAGCCTCTTGGGAAAGGGGCATGGCCCCAGCACATCCCCCTGCCCAGGCTGTGCTAGTGGAATGCCTTGCTCCAGGTTTTGGGTTGCCACATGTCCCTGCAAGTGTCTTCTGGGGACACAGAATCATAGAACCCTAGAATGAGGTTGGGTTGGAAGGGACCTTTAAAAGTCATCCAGTCCAAGCTCCCTGGAATGAACAGGGACATTAACCAGATCAGGTTGCTCAGAGTCCCTTGCAGCTTGATCTTGAATCTTTCCAGGGAGGGGACATCCACAGCTTCCCTCAGAGTTACCTGTTTCAACACCTCACCACTCTCACAATAAAAAATTTCTTAATTTTACCTAGCCTAAATTGACCTTTCTTTAGCTAAGAAACATTCTCTCTTGTCCAGTTGCATCAGGGCCTACTAAAAGGCTGTCTTCATCTTTCCTATAAGCCCCCTTCAAATACTAAAAGGCTGCTATAAGGTCTTGCCAGAGCCTTCTCCTCTCCAGGCTGAGCAGCCCCAACTCTCCTATCTTTTCCTCATAGCAGAGGTGCTCCAGTGCTCTGAGATCTTTGTGGCCTCCTCTAGACTAACCCAAATGGGTCCATGTCCTTTTTATATTGTGGGATCCAGAGCTGGACACAGCACTGCAGGTGGGAGCAGAGTACAGGGGGAGAATCCCCTCCCTCAAACCCCTGCCCTCACTGCTTTGGTGCAGCCCAGGATATGTCTGGCTTTTTGGGCTGGAGGTGCACATTGCCAGGTCATTATCCACTGATTGCCCCAAATCCTTTGTAGCAGGACTGTTGTCAATTCCCTCATGCCCCAGCCTCTATTGATATGAGAGCACAGTGCCCCTTCTCTCTTGTTTTTGTCAGGGAGCTGGCAGCAGGCCCTGAGCCCACCTGAGCTGCCAAAAGGAACCTCATCCTCCAAAACAGCTTCATTGGCTTTAATCCTGCTCTATCCTCCTCAGCTGGGCAGAGGAGGCCTTGCCATGGAACAGCCCCATGCACAGGGCAAACCCCCTTCATATCACCCTGCTCAGGGGGGCAGTCACAATCTCCCTTCCCATGTGCAGGGTGACAAGCTCATGGTTTTCACAGGAAATCCCAAATCCCATCGCTATGGAGCAAACCCATTGCAGGCCAGACCCCTGGGCTGCTGCTGGCCTCAAGACAGGAGCCAGCAGCAGGATGCTCAGCCTGCATCAGACCAGGGAAAAGAAGGAAGGGCAGGTCATGGAGAGATCTGTCCCACTGTGTTTCAAGATAAGCTTCTTTAACACAGTTTCCTGAGCAAAGAGGGCCCACCGTGGCAGAGGTGCAAGGCCAGCTCCTGGGGGTGCTGGGCTGTGGCAGGTGGTGCTGAAGATGAGGGTCCCTGCAGCACAGCCCCATCCATGCATGCATCCATCCATTCCAGCTCACTGCTGGGAATGTGAGCCCCGAGACGGCAGCAGCTCCTCCTCACTGCCACTGGCCCCCTTCCTTGCTCAAGCAAGGTTGTTCCCTGGCAAACCCCTGCCTTTGGCATCTCCTCCCCAGCCTTGTGGTGCTGCCAGGAGAGCTGCTGCCTGAGACTGCCAGCCAGAAATGCCCCAAAGACCAAGACCTGCTGCCAGGGAGGATGCTCACTTCTTTTCTGCTGCAAAGATCAAGTCTCAATCACTACCAATTCCAGCAGTTGTTAATCACCTTAGCAGTGGTTGAGGCTGCAGTGAATGACAGTAAAACAGGGCCCCCATCCCAGCTGTGCTGCCAGGTTTTACCCTGAGAAATGCCATATTTCTGGGGAGGGGCACTGGGGGAGGGAGGCAGGGCAATGCTTTCCCCATGTCCTGAGATTCATCTTGACATTTCCGGAGTAAAGCCCATTCCTTGGTCACAGGACACCAGCCCCAGCTTTCATGGGCTCAATTTGGGGCATGAGTTGGGGTCTTGCTTCAGCTCAGGTCTGTGTGGGCAGGGCACAGGCACGTCTCTGGCTCAGGGGGCATGAAGCTTCACTAATTATTGATTAAAAGATTTTTCTAAATCTTTTCCATGAGCAACAACTGTCAAGAAAAAAACCTGATTAATTATAGATCAGTGGCCCTGGCCGCTCCAGGGCTCCCATCCTCCCCCGCTGCCTGCAACTTGGCAAATTCCCAGCCACAGTTTTACCCTTAACAAACCTTCAACAGGGCCAGAGAGCCTGGGCTGGGAATCACAGAGGGATGCAGGGCCTGATCCATCCCCTGGCAGGGAGGGAAGCAGTGCCTGGGAAGAGCAGTCTGGATCCACTCCCGCACCACCCTCGCTGGGGGTGTCTGGTGAGCAAATGTGCTGAGCAGAACCGAAACCTCCCCCCCAGCTGCAGCTCCTGCTCTCACTCTGCCTGCTCCTGCACTGCAATTTTAACAGTCATTTATTTTCTCATTTTCCCAGCTTGCCAGTAATTTTAAAATGAGGGGGATCTAATTTAGTAAATGAGATGCTTCGGGAAGGCTTTAATTAGCTGCAAAGAGAAGCAGTGGATCCCATGAAGGGTTTGGGCTTGGTGAGAGATGCTCTCTCAGGCTGAGACTCCCAGGTGAGGGCTTAGCAATGCTTTCAGGGGCCTTTTGATAAACCCGGGGGGTTTGGACATCTTGGGCTTGGAGGGGTCCCACAGCTGAGAACAGAGTGAAGGATGCAGGAATGTTGGCAAAGGAATGCGGGACCATAGGAGCTCTTGCAACTCTCCCCTCTAAACCACTGCCAAAACCTCGAGCACAAAGCTGTGCTCTGGTCCCCAAACCCTCCCTGGCTCCCCTCCATGATGACCACCTCTGTCCATATTTGTGCCCCAAAAAACAGCCCTGACCTGCTTTTTTTTATTGTACAATTGTACATCACTGGGTGATTTCCCCAGGCCAGGCAAGCCCCAACGTCTGGTACCATTTGGAGGTGGGGTCTCTTTTGTGAGGACGTGGCAGGAGTGGAGAGAGTGCACCTGGAGCTGATGAAACACTCGTGGTGATGAAACACTCCGGCGTGGCACGGCCGGAGAGGAGGGGAGGGTCCTGCCTGCCCCAGCGCAGCTGCAGCCACGCAAACAGCCGCGTTCCTGGAGGCAGCAGGGCTGAAACTCGAAAGCAAGAGCAGGGTCCCAGAATAGCCCCAGCCCAGGCTGGGGGGAGTGGGGCAGAGCCAGACCCACAGGGACAGCAGTAGGAGGATGGCACAAGTGTGCTTGCTTTGGTGCCACAGCTGTGCCAAGCCCGGGTGACACCCATGGCCCCTGCCCTGAGCCGGGGGGCTGCAGCCCCCGAGCACCAGGAGAGTGCTGCTGGCTCCTGCACCCCATCCTGACACTGCACTCACACCACTCTCTTCTCTGAAGGACTGGGGAAGGGCAGTGCAGAGCCCACATTGTGCCACGACAGCACTGGCTCCTGTTTCCCCCCCGCCAGCCCCGCCGTGCAGCTGTGCAGCGGTGGGGCATCCCCTGGCTAAATTTACTCCTCACCCACTACAGCCCCCAATCAGAAATTCAAAAGGGCCCCCCAAAAAAGGAAGTGAAACTGTCTCCAGTGGGTGCTGACGTGTGAAGGCAAGCGAGCGCCACGCGGCCCAAGTCAGCTCAGCCCTGAGATGGTGGCCAGCTCTGTGTCCCTGCCTCACTGGGCTCTCACCCTGGGGGTCATCACCTTCTGGGGGACATCAGCCCTGAGATGGGGGAAAGGCATTGGGGTGGCATGATGCTGCAAAATTGGCAGGGTGGGTGGTGCTGATCAGGGACCCACTGGGGCTGGTGCAGACTCTGTACTGTAGCATGGTACGTGTCCCCAGGCCAGGTTCACCCCTCCTGTCCCCTGGGGGTCCCTGACAGGGCAGCCAGTGCGGTCTTGCCTGGTGTGGGATGTCCCAGCTGCTGTACGCATGCACACACACGAGTGTGCACACATTGCACATGTATGTGCAGATATGTGCACACACACACACTCCCCCAGTGACCCCAGTGCATCCAGCCCCGGGCTGGGCACCACTGACCCCACTCCTGTGGGCCTTGGGGCCAGGAGAGACCCTGACACTGCTCACACTGTGGCCTTGCCTCCCTGTGCCACCACCACAGGGGGACCAGCCTGAGCAGCTTGCTCCTGCTACCCTGCTGTCAGGTCACCCTGAATTTACTCACTCATTTACTGAATTAAACTAAACTCTCTGCCTGCTGCCAAGGCAGCCCCTTCTCCGGGGTCATCCCTCAGTCTGACCTGTTGCAGGGTACAGGGGCAGCCTCCAGGTTCACAAAATATGGGGCAGGTTTCCCCAAGTCTGGGAAATAAATTTATAAATTGATAAAATACATGCTATA